AGAGAGAGAGAGAGAGAGAGAGAGAGAGAGAGAGAGAGAAGACTGGCATATCTTCCTCCAAATGTTGAAAAGATGCCATCGGCCTTTTTTGGGGCGGTGGTAATCTGCCAAATACGGTAAATACCCCCGTAAGTTGAGATGAATTTCAAAATGTCCCTGAAAGATGTCGGTACAGTGGAATGGCCTTTTCGGCTGACATCTTTGTGTTATGCCCCTGTCAGCCGCGTGTGCAAATTCGCAATGTCAGCCTCCCAGTTTGGGCCTTGGCCTTTTGCAATTGCACCTACGAAAAGTTGGCAACTACCGGGGCATTTTGCAAAGTTGGACGGTGTCCGATAGGGGTACATTGCAAAGATGGGGTCCAATGATGTCCGGGGTGTTTCGCAAAATGTTTTTGTCATCGTCCTTCGCTGCGGCAGGCCCACTTGTAATTCTTAATTGGCGTATTAGGATTGTGGAGTATTTCGGGGATACTAATTAGATTATGCGAGTACTGGGGCATAGAAATCTGAAATTTGGTGACGATATTGGTTAGTTGGTGGGTAGTAGGGAGCCTCTTGTTTACTTAGTTAAATAGCTCCAGATGCGAATTTTGAATTTTCTCTAATCCGTGCTTGCTTTTCAATGGCTCGTTAGTAGCAGTTAGGGTTTGAGTAACCTGTGATTCATTTGTCGGCTGCAGTCGCGGATGGGATTGGTCGGAAGTGCTTTTCCCAGCCCTGTATGGCTGGGGCTTATATGTAAGGGACGCTGGACCGTTTTCTGGCATACAATGGAATGGTCACCTTCTTGTTAAAAAAAGAACAAAAAGAACAAAAAAAAGAAGTAAAATGTCCCTTAGACGTCCATTTGTTTGCGGTATGTCGTGCTCCTCTGACAACGATTGAAGTTTCTGAAAAACCCCTAGAGTCGTTTGGGCCTGAAATATGTTCAATATGCCCCTACCGGTACCGGTTCCAAATTTCCAGTATGGCCCGGTAGCTCCCCTCCCAGGGCCAGGGGAACGGCCGTGAGTGCCACCAATGGCCACAGGGGCATGCTGGAAAGTTGCACCCCACACTGACAGGGGCCTGCAGGAAAGTCGGCCATCCGAGGGGCATACCACAAAATAAATGGAAGTCAGAGGGGCATACGGCAACTAGATGGAAGTCGGAGGGGCATTTCAAAAATTCCTCCCCCCCCAAAAGGAAGCATGATTACATCTAACAGTATCATGTCTGACAGGTCCTGAATGAATGCGTCCTTACATAAGCTGGCCCCATGAGACCTACTGATCTCATACGATGCTGCAGCAACTGTTGTCAGGGACGCTCACAACCGTTTCCCACTGGCAAAGAGGATAATTGTAGTAACTGTCTGAACGTGGACGTGTTTGTGGACAGGTGCAAAAATTTGTGATTGGTCTACTTCTCTGCATCTCTGTGTGGAACACGTCCAGATTCAGACTCTTATTCCAATCCTCTTCGCCAGTGGGATCTGGCCCTTAGCCTTTAATTGATTTCATTTCGTTAAAAAAAAACAAAGAGAATGAATTTGTCCGTATGTTCTCTCTGAAGGTGTGCAGATTTACAGGGGTGGGTGTGTTATTAAGCCCTAATAAGAAAGGCCCTAGATATAAATTTAATGAACCATCAAGCTCAGCAACAATATTACAACACAGCAACAATGTTACAAGATTCCACCTCATCAGTATTCAAAACAAATCATCATGTAACTGTCTTTTTTTTTTCTTTTTTTTTTCCTTACTTTCCCTTGGGTCCTTTCTTGGGGGAGAGGTGGAGTGGTGGTGGTTCTGGGCGGGGGCCGCTGGTAGTTTGCTCTGCCGGGTGTGTAACTTCTTTTTTTTTTTTGGAGGGGGGGGGTGGGCTCTGATCTCCGGTGGAGAGGGACAACCCGACTGACCCCTGTTGGCCGCGTTGTGTACTGCCTTGGGCACTCGGCCCTGTTATAAAAGAGAGAAGTTAACCGAAAAAAGAAGAAAAAACAGAAAAAATCATCATGATACGGTTTTTTTTTTTTTTTTTTTTTTTTTTTTTTTTTTTTTTTTTAACTCTCTTTGTATTATATTCTCAACGAAAATATGAATCGAGGCCGGGGACCTCACAATTCAACCTGGAGTTATCCTGGCAGCATCAGCGGGTTTGGCTTATGTAAAACAATTCCTACACTGAGACACTGTGACTGAAAAGAAACTTCACTTCAAAGCACTCGGGATCAGACTAGGCTGTCCTAAGCACAGGTTACACTGATGAATTGCTAACTTGGGCCCGGCCCTGCATGAGGAGGGCTTTTCGATACCAATTGCTCCAACTACCTCAAGCTACTATCCGCTCTACAAACCAAGGAAGAGGCAACACTGAGGGGTTGTGAATAGAGGTCGGAGTGATGAGGTCAGATGGAGAGGTGCGGGATAACAGTGAGGAGGGGATTTTTTTTTTTTTTTTTTTTTTTTTTTTTTTTTTTTCSCTAAGGCCTTTTTTTTTTTTTTTTTTTTTTTTTAATTGCTCCAATCTATTCGTGGGGAGCATCACGTGCTGGGAACCGGGCCCAGTGTCCCTTATAATGGAAATACATTAATGATTGACAATTGATGAAAATTTAGGATGATTGAGGATCATTTTGGATGATTTAGGATGTCAGAGTGGGTGATTGAGGTCATGAAATAGAGCTAGATGATTGACTAATCAGAAAGTTTGTCTACTCAGCACTGAATTACTATCCTATCCCTAACTTCCTGTATCCATTCCAAACAACCAATCACAATTGAGCCCGTGCTGTGCACCAATCAGGCCTCTTCCCGGTCTCACACCCCAATCTGGCTCGGTTACAGGGCAGCGCTACCCACCCCAGCTCCGACCATCGTTGGCCAGATTGTAGCCATTAGTCAAGTTTGCAGATTGCCTTCCTCCCTCGGCGATTCCAGACCTCTATACAAAGCCTCAAGCTCCTACACAAGCAGGTTACAGGGCACTGCCCCAGTGCCGGCTAGCGTCGTTTTGGCGCCAACTCAACCTGGCCATTACACAAGAGGACTCAATTAGGAAATTAGCTAATCTAGAATGCCAACCAGAAATCAAGGATCTGATAATATCAGAATCTTGATCAGCAAAACTTTCTGATGATGAAATTTGACGAGTACCCTGAGATGATCACAAAGATGATGGATAACGATGACGACGCTGATGATTATTTCTCTCCACCCCTCCCCTTCTTCCATGTATTCTCCTCCTCTCCCCTCATTTCCTCTTCTCCTCTCGCTGCCTCCGCTGAGCCGAACCCCGCTATCAGCATGAAGTTCCTATCAGCCCCAACGAGAGAGAGAACCTCCCCATTCCCTTCTACCTTGAGGTAACCAGTTCCCCCAAAAGGTGTACCTCAAAACGAACACTCTGACCTAGTCTGCCTCCGCCAGGAGATAATTCGCCCCCATACATATCTCCCAGCCCCAGCCCAGGTCAGCTCCCATCATCTGCATCTACTCCCTGGAGGGCAATCACCTCCCACCTTGTGTTGCCCCTGCGGAGTAGCGCTCCCTTCCTGACCAACCTACCTACCAACTAGACCATAGCCTATCTGGGAGATGAGAATATAATCACAAACACAGAGATGACTAATGATTGATGAAAAAAAGAATAACGAAACCGTGATGATGATGATGATGATGATGATGATGATGATTGATGATTAATGATGATGATTGATGATGATGATGATGATGATGATGATAAAGATTCAGATTGGTAGATGATGATGAAATAAAATCGGCGAAAATAAATAAAGAACGTTGGACTTGCGATACCCTAATGGCATCGGTGTGGAAGATTGACAGCTCACTATTGCTGTAATGAAAATAGAAGATGACGATGATTACGATTTTTACAGAGAAGTCTGGATGATGACCATGAAGAAGATAAAAAGAAGATAAATAACATGGATGACGAAATAGAGAAGCCGATGATGATTACCACTGGTAACCAAATGAGGATTACAAAAATGACGGTGTCCTTGATGAAACCCCCCCCCTGAAATGACAATGATGACAATCTTGATGCTCTTGATGGATAACCTGCACAAGACAAAAAACAGACGAAAGCACATATATAGATCGATGATGACCTCCTAGCCGCTCTCTTGATAATACTCTCCCAGTGACACTGTGATGATTCTTCAAATAGGACCAACGTTCTCCGCACTTTGGTCTCCACGGGGCTGACTCCACTTTCCTCCACCGACATTGACTTTCGTCAACTCGCATGAGCTCTCCAGCCTCTTTAAAGGTCTTGGCTATGGAGTACTTCATGTGAAATACACAGGGAAAATGTTCAAACAGCAGCTGCCGCTACCATTCTCCCTTTTCCTCTGTGCCTCAGGCCAGATGCCACGTCAGCCTGCGATGTAGTAATGATCCAGCGCCTCTGGATACCGCGCGTGCGTCAAGCGCTAACCCCCATCTACTTCACAACATCACAACACTCTCGCACCAGCGACTCCTTCCCGACGGCTGCCAGTACCGCACCACGTGTCAGCTAGCATGTTACTAGTCACCACAAGCCAACACCTCGCCAGTCGCAAGTCACCAGCGCCCCACCACTCACTGTTGCCAGCGCCTCGCCCCCCGCCAGCAGCCAGCGCCTCGCTGCACTCACACAACCAGTGCCTCGCCACTCGCGAGAAGCCAGCGCCTTGCAACCTGTGAGAAGCCAGTGCCCCGCCACCTCCGACCAGCCAGCACCTCGCCTGCAAGCAACCAGCATGCCACCATGTACGTGCCGCGGCGGCCCGGCCCCCGCCAGTCATAGCGCTAGTGCTAGCGCTAACGCGCGCCAGCCCACTAACGTAAGGTCATTATCTGTTGGATATCTTTTTACGCTAAGGCCTAATAGCTGAAGACGAGTCTATCCCTCGTGTACTCTGGATAAGGCAAAGCTGTCCTAAGCACGGTGTACTCTGATGAATTACCAAGCTGGGCCCAGTCCTGTGCGAGGAGGGCGTCCTATTACCTATTACTCTGTCTACTTCGAGCTTACTATCAATACTACAGGGGGCTGGGGGGGCTGCACAGAGGGGTTAAAAGGGACTGTAGGAGTGGTGAGATGAGATGAAGGGGGGTAGGGAGGGTAGAAGGGACAGGCGGTTTGGGTTGGGAGGGGGTCTGGGTTGTAGGGGGCATTCTAATCTAAGCTAGGCCTACTCTGGCCTGACCTCAAGCTAAAACGCTCGAGAGGAACACAGGTTCCTTTTCCTATTCCCTGGGTACCATCCTCCCTACCCTACCCTTTGCAGCCTACTGTGGCTGCCGACAGGAACCGAGTGCCTTGGTTCTCAGAGCCAAGAGGGAAGAAGGAGGGGGATGTAGAAAGGTGAAGTTGAAAGGGGGGAGCAGGGGGAGCGGTGGGAATAGGGGGGAATAGCAGAGGGAGAGGAAGCAGAGGAGTGTGGGACCGTAGGATCCAATGTGAGGAATACTTCTAAGATGCGGCAACGAGCAGGTGTGGCGGCCTGTGTGGAGAGGGGGCGCTTGTACAGGCTGAACTTCATGTCAACAACCAGGGGGAGATGGCCAGCTTGCCCGCGTGAGTGACTGCAGCGAGTTTGTTGTCCCTGGCCCAAGTGACTAAGAACCAGTGTCTGCCCCTCATGGCTGTCCCTCCTGCAACTTTTCTACTCCAATCGACGCGGATCATTGTTCTGATCCAAGCTTTTATCCTTGCGATCAGGCTCGCGTCAGCAGACCATTGCTGTTTGAAGAGGATGTTATTGCGGTCCTCCCAGATAGGCCAAGCGATGATGGATCTGATGGCTTGTGGGACGTAGCCCCTTCCTGTGTGCCTGAACCACGTGATGGGGATCTGGCCATAGAGCACCCAACCCTTGTCCCAAGTTAGCTGGTCACCTACAAACTGGAGCCAATGTCGTTCCCACCACTGCCAGATACGTTTCGATGCTGGACAGGTCCAGAAAAGGTGTGCCAACGTCTCTTCCTCCTTACAGCCACATCGTTTGCATAGCGTCTCGATATCCATGCCTCTTTCAAACAGGCTTACTGAAGTTGGAACTGCGGCGTGGGAGAGGAGCCAGAGCAGGCCGGCGAGCTTTTAGGAGGGCAGAGCTGGAAGCTGGTCCCACAGGGTGCGGAACTCTCGTTCTGCTATCTGGTGTGCCGGTTCTAATTGCCTGTTGAGGGAGTGCGCCACTGTGGTCGGAAGTTGTTCGTCGTTTGTGAGGAGCGTTCTGCCAAGCTTCGTGGAAAATTGGTGGAGGAACAGTCTGCTTCCTGGTCTTGGCTCCTAGTAGCAGCCCTGTGGGTCGACCCGGAGGCGTCTTAGCGGGATTCTCTCGGCTATCAGATCATGTGTGGTCACCCCTCTCTAGGTACTTGTGTGAACTCGTATGGTCTAAAGGTCTGCAGTAATCTGGATAGCAATGGTGCCTTCGAGGTGCAATCTGGGAGTCAGGTTGTGCGCATCCCTCCGTCTCCATTCTTGAGCCTGCCATGTGTCGTCATTGAGCTGCTCCATTATCCTGACGATGGAGGGGGATCTCCCCTCGGCCTTGTGGGAGTACCATTCGCCTTCGATGGGAGTCTCTGACTTCAGTAGTTGCAGCCAATGGTCTGGAATGGCTGAGGTCAGCTGCTGTCTTCTTTCTGCAATGTGGGACATCCCTCTTAGCTTCAGCTTGAGCTCGTTTGTTGATCACCAGTCTTTCTCCTCGTCATCCCAAAGGTCCGCTATTCTTGTCATGCCTCTCTCCGTCCATCTTCTGCCGAATGCTCCTGGTGCGGCCGTTGCTGCGAACTGGTCTCCCTGCGAGGTTCTGATCTCCGAATTGTCAAACATGATTTGTCTCAGCACCTCCTCCCTGGTGGTTGGTTGCTTCATGTGTGGGGGAATCAGTGCTCTCCAGGCTGTCCAGCAGGCTCCTGCTAGGTGGGAGTGGAGCTGTCTGCGTCGGAATGAGTCCATAAAGATAGTGGCCCAAACATCCTCCTTCCTTGTCAGAGAGAGGTCGTGCTGTAGCAGGTACTCAAGTACGGTTTGCCAAGTTCTGCGCTCAGCCTGCGTTGCCGCCTTCTGCACCCATTTGGTTAACAGTGCTAGGTTCTGCTTATGGGGGTCAATGATACCGAGTCCCCCCTGGCTTTTCCAGGCAGTCACCTTATGCCAGACGCACTTGGAGATGAAGCGCTGGTCATCTTGTGCTGCCGGTTTCCACAGGTACCGCGCGATTCATCTGAGGCTATGGCTGTGGGCTTATTAAGGAGGCAAACTGCTGCTATGGGCCATATCTGCGCAAAGATGGCAGAGGTTAGCAGCAGGGCTCTTCCCAATAATGAAATTCCGACAACCACCCTGCATTTCTGGATGCTGGTTTTTGTTCTAGCGCGGAGGATCGACTGCTGTTTCGGTTGTGCACTCGTTAGCGATATTTGTATGCCCTGGTACCTTTCTGAGGTCTCGGGTGGGACCCGCTACATGCCCCAATCTGCGTCAGGTATCTCATAGTCGGCTGGCAGAAAATAAATAGACTTCTCCCCGTTGACTTGGGTTTCCGACAGTTGAGCATAGTTGTCTAGGAGGTGCTTTGCCTCTTGCATTGAGTCGGGGGTTGCTTCCATGGTGAGCAGCAAGTCGTCGGCGATGGCTCCGGTCAGCATGCGGTCTCCGCTTCCTAAGTCCAACCCACGGATCTGAGGGGAGGCTCTGAAGGCATTGAGAAAGACCTCCATTTGCAATGCAAATAGCAGGGATGCCAGCGGGCAGCCTTGTCTGAGAGATCTTGTCAGGGTGAAAGTTTGAGACAGGAACCCGTTGATGTTGACTGTCATTGTTGCCCCACTGTAGAGTTCCCGTAGTACCCAATGTTTGTACATGGGACAAAATCCCATGTGTTCTAGTGTGGCGAGGACGAACGACCAGTTTACCTGGTCGTAGGCCTTCTCCAAGTCTAGCATTGCCACTAACACCTGTCTGTTCTCCCTCAGTATTATCTCCAAAGCTCCGACTGCCATGAGCATATTCTCTGCGATGGATCTTCCCTGCACGAAGGCGCCTTGGTCAGTGTGCACTAGCGCTGGAAGGTACGGTGCTAGTCTTCTCACGAGGAGCTTGGCAAGAATCTTGTATGACACATTGAGGCGTGATATGGGACGCGAGTTTCGGACATTGCACTTATCCCCTTTCTTGTAGATCAGCGTTATGATACCCAACTTCATGTCGTTGGTCAGGGTACCTCCTTGAGCGATTTGGTTGTAGCTGTTTAGTAGGATTGGTCCGGTATGGTCCCATGTGGCTTCATAGAACTCGATGGGGAGGCCGTCAGAACCCGGGCTCTTCCCTCTGGCCATACTCTTGATTGCTTGCCGCAGTTCCTCCAAGTTGAATGGTTCTTCTAGTTGTCTGCTGACGTCCAATGGAAGTCTTGTTGATGTGTGCTGCCACAAGTTGCTTTCATCTCTTAGCTGCTACAGTGGGACGTTGGGCTGTCTTCGCGAAGTCAGGATGTCCTTGAAGTAAGCGAGAGCATACTCTCCTATTGCTGCGGAGTCCTTTGCTGGGGGTGTCTCGTGGAAGAAAGGATGATGCATTTCGCTCATAAGGACGTGGGGCCTTGGCGGGCAGATTCGCTTGAATGTGTCCTTTGACATGCGATCCCCGGTAATCATGCCTCGCTCTTGTGCTCTAGTGGCCCACAACACTTAATGCTCAATTTGGATGGCCTCTAGCCGCTGGAGGGCGTGGTCTCTTTGGTGCTTCCAATAGAGCTCCGTTAGGGGGTGTTTATCTAACTCCGCCTCAGCTTCAGCGATCGTAGATCTGTACTTGTCCTCCTCATTCCTTCTACCCTTCGCCTTGATCCTAGAGAAGACATCCAAAGCTTGCGTGACAATCCGAAAGCCTGTTTGCAGCCATTCCTCCTCCGCCTCGAAGTCGCCCTTTTCCTTTTACCAACTGTTCCAGTGTTCCTCCACCCATTGCAGTATGTTGGGATCTTTGAGCATCTCCGTATTCAACCGATATGTGCCTGGTCCCCTCAGCAGCTGGTCGGCCAGTCTAAAACTGGCAGTCACGGGTCGATAGTCTGACATAGACTCAATCACTTGCTCCACCTCAGTGAGTGCGTCCCAGGCTGCTCCTGCTGCTAGAATCAAGTCCAGCCTTCGTTTTGGTGACTGGTGGTCTGCGGTGGTATGAGAGGAGAACCAGGTGTAGCCTGGCTCGCCCAGATGCATGGTCCTGAATGTGTCCACCAAGCTGCGAACTGCCATGAAGTTGGCGAGCAAGGTGGCATCAGTCTTCCTGGGTGCCACCTCTTGGGAGTCGAGGCCCGGTGTCAGCACCGTGTTGAAGTCGCCGACGAGAATGAGGTTGTCTGCTACAGGAACAACAGCTGGGAGTTCCTCGAGAAAAGATCGTCGTTCTCTTGGGTCTGATGGAGCATAGATTGTCATCAGGACCCACTCTTGGACTCCCAGTTGGACCCTGCACCAGGCCCAATGACTCCAAATATATGAGTCCTGGTCCAACATTTCGAACTCAAGGTTGCGGTGGAAGAGGATGGCACAACCCCCTTTGGTTCCGTCGGTCGGAGACTAGAGCTGTGAGCCTTTCCACCAGCTACCCAGTTGACTGATCTTTGCTTCCTCCAACTTGGTCTCTTGTAGCAGCAACACCTGCACTCTTTGGTTGTGCATCCATGTCTTCAGTCGGGCTTTCTTGTGCCTTCCCGAGGTGTCCCCCAGGACCCGTACGTTCCATGTGGCCAAGACTAGACATTGACTGAAGTGGTGACGGTGGGGTGTTGCATCCACTGGTTATCTTCATCTTGGTGTCTGGGCTCTCTTCGCCTGGTGCTGTCAGCTTCTGATGGACTGGTCCAGGGTGCTAGGAGCAGGTTCCGAAACCCAGTCGAGTGTGGCTGTTTGTCAGTTGCCAGGGTACCACAAAATTCAGCCACCAATTTGGCATTAACGTCATCTGTTAAGTACATCTCCTGCAACTCTTTTGTTGCCGTGGTGGCGAGCCAGGTGGTAGGGAGCCAAGCCACCCCTTGCGTTGTCAGCCCGAATACCCTTACAAGGGTATTCGGGCACATTTTTGCAGCCCGCAGGAGGAACGCCTCTGGCAACACCTAGGGGCGTGTCCCATTTGTGTTGATTAGGGAGTGTGTGAGCGTGCACTTTGCGGGCACGCACTAGCTTGACCGCACCTTGATCGAGGAAGACCATGCGACGCCGGTAGAACAAGTGAGATTTGCACTAGGGTCCCTGAGGCGGTTGCAGCCTCGCTCGCACGGGCAAAGTTACGGGCAGCGCAGGGTTGACTAGGTAGGATTGTGGCTAGAAGAGAATGTCGTCTGACTTACTAGAGGCCGACGCTCAAGCTCACCCCGTGCAGAGTTACGCACGGCGCGGGGTTGGCCGTGCGTTATCAATACTAGAAGCCGCAGCCGAAGTCGGGCAACGATGGCGCGGACCAGAACTGAAGGCCGGGGTTTTTCGGCAACAAGGGTAGGAGGGCACTCATTTGGTGAGTATGGCACGCTGCGAGGGCCTTGGCCACGGCTGCCGCATGGTAAGGCAGTGTACGTGGTGAGGTGAGCAAAGCCCTGCCCCTGAGGCAGCCCTTTAAGGCCATGGGTGCGGGAAATAAGCCAGCCGGGAACTGTAGTGCACCTCTGCAGGCCGGGGTAACCGCAAGTACCATTGATATACAAGTTTGGGCCTGCTACAACTAGGCTTGGGCTTAACCCTACCAGTTGTAGTGCTAAACTCTTACCAGGTGGATCCTGGGATCGAGGCCAGCAGCGAGCAACGGATCGGACTTGGAGCAAATGGAGGGGTTGAGGGTCCCGCGGGGCTATTCTCCCTTGGTTTTGCTAAGGGGAGTCCGCCGCGGGCCTGGGAGAAAGGACCAAGTGCCAACGGTCCTGACCCCCGGCCGTTTTTTTTTATTATTATTATTGAATTTTATCTCTGAATTTTTAAAAACAAAAAAAGTTCCATTTTTTATTTTTCCTATTTTTATCTTTCTAGTTGGGACGGGGTCGGGTACCGGTATCGAGACTTGTCGGGAAGCCAGCAGCCTAGTCCTGTGGATACACCCATGGACTGCTGGGACATCCGTACCTGGTAGTCCTGTGGATACACCCATGGACTGCTGGGACATCCGTACCTGGAGGCCGTGGTCCTTCGGGACATCAGTTAAAATTGGGACGATGCGGAGAAAATTAACGGGGCCCTGTGTAAAGGCCGTGCGCAAGAGGAGAGATAAGTTTTTATTTCTTTATTTTTTTATTTTTTATTTTTTTATTTCATGCCTTGGCCGCCGTCTTTGAGCCGATCGCAGTTGTTGACCGGCCAATTTAAGACTGGGAGTCGAGAGGGGGTGGGCTGATCCCCGCTCCTTTCTCAACTTGAAGCCGGTTGGAGGTACAAGTGAACGCTGTACGAATGTTGAGGAGCTGAAGGAGAAGCAAGGGGCAGGGCGTGTGTGCCTATGTGAGAGAGAGAGAGAGAGAGAGAGAGAGAGAGAGAGAGAGAGAGAGAGAGAGAGAGAGAGAGAGAGAGAGAGAGAGAGANGAGAGAGAGAGAGAGAGAGAGAGAGAGAGAGAGAGAGAGAGAGAGAGAGAGAGAGAGAGAGAGAGAGAGAGAGAGAGAGAAAGAAAGAGAGTGAGAGGGGAGAGAGGGGATAGAGAGAGGTACTCACCGTCAGCGAAGCTGCGAGAAGGGCTAGTGCATGGCCGGGAGGCTGTGTTACTACGAGGTAGGAGACGGTGCTACCAGAAGGAAGGGCACTCAGCAGCAAAGGAGGAGAGTGACAACAGTGAGTGTAGAGAGGGGGGGACGAGGCCGACCAGGTAGAGGTAAGAACGAGATCAGAAAGGGGGGGCCTGAATCCGGACTGATTTGGGCGAGGGGTGCATGCATAAAGCGAGAAAGATAGCAGCGATGGGAAGGAGACGGGCAGGACGACGAAGGAGATGACCGTGCCCAATCCTTGATGGAGATGAGCCAGTGAAGGGTCTCTTTTGTATGATTYGGCCAGGGCGAACCCATTYGTGAAGCCAGTTTGGTGGTAGGCAGAGTGGTTGAGGTAGTATGGGAGGAAACGGGTGCGCGGATATGGCGGAAACGGAGAAGGAAGGAGGTAGAAGAAGGGGTACCTCGCTCATCTCCGAACGGATTTAAGCGAGGGAGTCGAAACTGAGATTTTTGGGCGTGGCGAATCAGATGGTGCGGTTAGATTTGAGAAAGGGGGGCTAGTTTTTGTGCTATGAGGAGGCAGAGCTGCGCGGAGGCATTGAGAAGCGGACCTTCACGGGGGTGAAAGTTCACATAGCAGGGTCAATTGTCGTCCAATCTTGGCGGTCTAACAGCCTGTTCCGAAGGGTTGGGGCATTGCGAATTCGATAGCAGGATCGGCCCTGACGATGAAGCAGGACATTCAAGGCGACCATGTACAAGGGCTGCTTGTAAAATAAAATAATAAAAAAAGAGAAAAAAAAAGAGTGTTTGAAAACAGGGGTGTATCCGGCCGTATTCTGGCGGAAGATGCACTCTAAGTTTGCACACCCTCTTGGGTGAGTGGTTGCCCGACATCCTAGTAGCAGGACCGCTTTCCTCGGGATAGTAGTAGTACGGGTCTGTATAATAAGCAGTTACCGTCTCCCTCCAACCGGATCGAACTGGCCGGCGCTTCCCGCCCTGATCATGCTAGTCTGATCGGCGCATGTGTGCTCGTCATCACGGGTGCCCAGGTCCGCTCGTTAAGGGTGTATGCACCGTCATTCGTCTAGAGAGAGAGGGAGAGGGGGCAACCACCAAGTTGAGTGGGGCCAGACGGGCAGCCCCGCGCTCAAGTACTTGGCACCCGGCCATGGTGATTTTGCTCATACACAAGAGAAAGGAGCGCGGGGCAGGCACAAAACAAAGCTCATCTGTTGGTGGGCGCCCGAGCGAAGGGGATGTTGCGAGGCCAGCTGTGAAAATAGAGGCCGTCAGCATGGAGGTGGGTGCCTACCTGCAGACCATGCCCTGMTGACYCTCACGAAGGACACCACTATGCGGTATCTTTCCGATGTGCATGGCTGAGAAGTAGTGCGTAGTTCCATGCTCTAGCAGGAGGGTCAGCCCGATTTCGGGTGGACAGACCTCCTCCCCCCCCCCTTTTGTGAGTTCAGTAGCCGTACTTGCATCACCTGGCTTGGTCCATATCAGAATTGCTTTCAGGGGGCCTATTCGCCACTGTGTATCTGCCCATGCCTGTGTGAAAAATTCGCCACTGTGTATCTGCCCATGCCTCTGTGAAAAATTCCACCACTGGGTATCTGCCCATGTCTGTGTGAAAAATTCCACCGTTGTGTACCTGCCCATGCCTGTGTGAAAAATTCCTTCTCATACCACATGATTAACAGGCCTGATAGATTGGGCACCTCCGGATACTATAACTAGAACTAGAGATTAGGGGAGGGAGGGGGAGACTCCCTGAAACTTAGCAACAATGGTTGAATAACGAGGGTGGGGTTCTTGATTGACTTAGTGGGAGACAGTAATTAGAACTTAAATTTCGGTATTGTGTGCATCTGCTGTGTATCCTCGTCACCCGGCCCCGAGTGACATTGTTTACTATACTCGCCATCATGGTCCCAATTTGTGCAGCGGTGCAGCCTTCTTTACTCTGAGCTGACGGGCCAGCTAGGTGGGGAGTACTTGGCAGCTGTCATAAGTACTTGACGTAGTAGTGCTGTTGTCTGGGGGGGGGCTACTCGGTGTCAATGGATCTGGGATCGGGGCTGATCGGTGTGTTGATGCTGTCAAAGAGCGCTAGTTGCTTTCTATGATGGATAATTGTAGTCGAATGTCCTTGCGTTGACTTGTTGCTGAGGGTAGTCCGGTGGCTGAGGCCAGGGCAACGGCTGGGGGCCTATGCTTGTCTTGGCTGCGGCAGTTGCGGCCACGGAGGGCCACGGGCTTTTTTTTCCAGGGCGGTACGGACGGGCAGCGAGTTTCAGATTGCTGCTGAACTACAGAGTTGCCGCTCCGGATAATCATTGGGTTCCGCTGCGTATCGCTGTGGGTTACCATACCTTTGTTAAAGTGCTCTGCATATTGCTTCTGATAGACTTCAGCTTAGTTGACGTGGTAAGGGAGCTGYTGTGGCTGGGGCAGGAGACTGTTGGAATCGTTGTGGACGGCTGCTGTCATCGATCAGCTGCTAAGGTATGTGCTGCATACGGGCCAGTGCTGCTGCAGTTGGTGGCCGAGCCCTTGTTCCACTGCTGCGGTCCCGGGCCGACGAGCGCCTAGTACCCTGCTGATAAACAGGGCATTGTCCCGGTCGGTGCTGCAGCGAAGAGTGTTGTCCACCATGGGGCAACACTACTGGGCACTGCTGCTGTATGAAGCCATCAGTCATCACTGACGAGGTGCCAGTGGGCCAGTGCTGATTAGAGGGCGGTGTTAGTAGGCTTTGGAGGCGGGACGCGCCAGTTACTTGGCGATACTCAGAGCAGGTTGCTACTGTGGCTGCTGTGTTCCGGCGAGGTGCTGCCACAACGTATGGGTTGTTGCTGCTGAGTCGGGCTGCCGATACACACAGGTTGGATGCTGTAACTGTGCGCCGCGCTGTTGCTGTGCAGGGCGGTGGCCTTCGCTGTGCACTACTGCCTGTGGCCAGGGCAGTGGTACCCCTGTAACGGAGGGGCAGCCAGTGTGGCTGACTGAGTATTGCGGTATCTGTCGCATCAGGCTGGGGTACTATTGCTGGGGCCAGGGGTACGGCTGAGTAATCGTGGTAACACCTATTGTTAGTTCGGTTCTCGTTGCGCCTTTCGTACGGCATCTGCTTTCTGCAATAGTACTGACTGAAGGGCTCCGTCCACCGCGGTGAGCCGCCATTGTCAAAACTCGAGGCTTAGGCTACAACAATCAGGGTGAGCTGCTACAGCAAGGATAACTAAGGCCACAGTATTTGTGCTGCGGCTACCCCACGCCATTGGGGCGACTCCTGCAACAGCTGTTTGGGCGTTCAAGAGTTATCACGACGACTTGAACTGTTGCTGCAGATTGATTGCCAAGGTTTGGTGCTGCGGTACTTCGGCCATTGGGGGCATGTAGAGCGAACGGTGCAGTTGTTGGGCAGATTTGGGTAGAACGGTGCCTTTAAGCTTGCGGTACGCAGGGCGCCGGACTGTTATCAGAAACCACAGCCAAACTGGGCGCTGCTGCTGCCCAGAGCGCTGTTCCTCATTTGAGTGTCAACATTGTGCACCATTTTCGCTTCGTGACGGGTTGCTGCTGTGACTTGGAGGGTGGTCAGGGGACTGTTGGCGCTGTATTCGGCCGAGGGTTGGACCGGTTGCTGCTGCGTTTTTCCTGGCCACCATTGTGGGGCCCTCAGGCGCATCAAGACAACGAGGCCCTCTCCAGTGAGATTGAGAGCACCTCTCTTGGATCTCGAGAGTCTACTCTACCTACCTCTATCCTTCTCAGTCTCAGTCTAGTCTATGCTACGATGGGAAGGCGGCAGGCGGGATTGCAACCCATAGGTCCGCGCCAAGGCCTCTGTGGGAGGTTGCCCCACCGATTGCGGGAGCTCTGCCGGAGCCCAGGCGGGGTTCTGGAGGCAGGGAACTTAAGGTATATTCTCGTATAACCCGTGTGATCCCTTCCCCTAACTATTACTCCCTGGGTAACTAAATAATATATGGAAGGTTATTACTTTTTGTTTGCTATGTATGTAAGGACATGCTTTGCAAAAGGATGAATGAACAAGTACYTATGAGRGATCAGATAAACTTTGAGTGAGTTCAGACAAAAGGAATGGGGGGAAGATGGGATAAAGGTGTTTGTATGCTTTCACCGGGTCAACCCAAGGCTGAGCTCCCCTAAGTTGGTGTGGGCTCAGTGATGTGTTTCATTCATGTTTGCTGGGCTGCTTGTATGGTTTTGAGGGCTGGGCCTATCCTAAGTTGGACGGACCAGCCGCTGTTTTTTTTCTAGGGTTTCTGAAGAGGAGGACGGGCGCCCTAAGTTGGGATGTCTCAGAATCCTGGTGTTTTTTTCTATGGGTTGCTGAAAACAGGACTGGGAGCACTCTAAGTTGCGTGGACTAAGTTCTGCGTATGTTTTTTTTGTGAGGGGGACACAGGCATGAGGCTGAGCGTACCCTTAAGTTAGGGCGGCTCAGTCATAAGCCAGGAACACAAAGGCCAACCGAAGTATACAATTTTGATACATACTATACGAACCTATATCATCTGGCAGACCGGGCACCGTAAGTTGGGAAAGTCAGTCAGTAAGTCAKGTAGAACAAGAAGAGGAGGAAAAAATATGAAGAATATAACGAAGGTAATCTGGGAAGGCGGAGCGTACCCTTAAGTTAGGGCGGCTCGGTCCTATGCWCRTAATAAGACAAAGGATCAGCGAGTTAGTATAAATTTGTTTTATTTTCCCTTCTAAACACAAGGCAGGGTTGAATGTCTCCCTAAGTTGGGTAGGTCTGACCCTCTGCCTAATAAGAGAGGAACACATATAGTCTGTGCATGTATCAATGGTTGTTTTTATATRATTGTCGTTACGGAGGCTAAGCGTACCCTTAAGTTAGGGCGGCTTAGTCATACGTCGTTGTACTTTGTTCAGACAGTTCCTGTCTTATGTAACTATAATTGTTTAGGCCAGCTAGGCGTACCCTTAAGTTAGGGCGGCCTGGTGATAGGCTCTTGTCGTTGATGTGATGTAGGTTGGACGTACCCTTAAGTTAGGGCGGTCTGACCATTCGTC